TCTTGAAGCACTTGAGTTCTAAAGGGTCTCACAACTTGTTAAACCCAATAAAGGGTGTGGCTATATGTGGCCTGGACTGAGGGCAGCCACGCCTAGAATACCACCCTTCACAACCCCAGTCCCCATGGTCTGGAAGCCTCAGGCCCATGACATAGATTCACAGCTTCAGTACAATCTGACAGGTTTATACAAATACAGCTGGCTTAGAAATAAAGGAAGCTTCCCCCAACACGGTGGCACCTAAGACAGAGGACAGGGAGCACAAAGGATCCATGGAGGATCCGTTTTGTGCCTGCATTTGCTGTATCAGAAAGGGACTGGGAACTGGCAGTTCCCGGCAGAGACAGGGTGCAGCTGTCCCCAGGCTGCAGCTGGGAGCAGTTGTTCCCAAGGCCGCAGCTGGAAGTAGCCATCCCAGAGGTTGCATAGATCTGAAGGTGAGCCCCACCCATCAAGACATGGGTCAGAGCTACTGTCCCCTAATGGAACTGACATGTGTCAGATTTACCCAGTAGCTACAAAAATCCACTTGCTGAGTAGCTGTAATTGGCCACACATGACCACAATCTCCAGTCACTGCCACATCAACTGCCAGGCACCAACAACTGCGAAGCCTGGGCTAGAGCCAGGGCCAGCTAGACCTCGGATGCTACTACAAATCAAAGGTGCCACTAATACGCTGTTGTCATCCAGGTGCACACAAGTCTAAGCAAGAATCATGCAGCTTTTTAAGAAATCCTTACAAGGCATCCGTGCTGCCAGAAATTAGTCAAGTCATAGGCACTTGCCTGAGATTGTGAATGGGAGCACAGACAGTTGCAAACACCTTCATTTAGACATTATTCCTGATGTTTCTTGGAGCTCCACCGTTAGGAGTTCGATTGCATTAGTGGATTGGGACAGAAACCCAGGAAAGCCCTTAAGGACATCAGAACTTCTTCCCAAGGATGATTCCAAAGAAACAATCATTTTTCCCCCCCAAACTGGAGGGAATCATTGGAGGAATCCATAAACTCAAAGAAAGATTAATGGAAAAAATAAATAACTCAAACAGAATTGTAGCAGACTGTTTCAGAATGGAAGAAATAAAAAATTGAACCAGTACCCACAAAGGCAAGATACACATGATCAATAAAAAATAGAAAAGAGATTTAAAAAATATTTGGGGCTGGAGAGATAGTACAGTGGGTAGGCCGCTTGCCTTGCATATGGCCAATCCAGGTTTGATCCCTGGCACCTTATATAGTCTCCTAAGTTCCATGAGGAGTAAACTCTGATGCTGCCAGGTGTGGTCCCCAAACAAAACCAATCCCCGCAAAAGAAATAATGCTTTCTTTAGCATTATTATCCCAAAGATATAGAAGATGAAGCAAGCTCTCCAGAAGATCACTGGTGAAATTGGCTACTTTGACTAAGCATCATACTTTTTTTTTTTTTTTTTTTTTTTTTGCTTTTTGGGTCACACCAAGCGATGCTCAGGGGTTATTCCTGGCTCTGCACTCAGGAATTACTCCTGGCGGTGCTTGGGGGACCATATGGGATGCCGGGGATCGAACCCAGGTCGGCCGCGTGCAAGGCAAACAACCTACCCGCTGTGCTATCGCTCTAGCCCCATAAGCATCATACTTTCAACATCAATAAAAGGATTTGGTAGGGTGGGGGGAATAGGTGGGAAGAGGCATACCCAGCAATACTCAGAGGTAACTCCTGCCTCTGTGCTCAGGGATGAGTCCTGGTGGGTTTGGAGGACAAATGAGATGTCAGGGATTGAACTCAGGTCAGCCACATGCAAGGCAAGTGCCCTGCTGTACTATCACTATGGTCCCCAAATAGTTTTACAGTAGAAGATGTCACATAGGACTTTCATAAAGTCAATTCTTGATTTGGAAGTTTCAAAAGACAGGTGATCCCTTGGGACTAATGCAACTTGTAACTTTAAGTTGAAGTCAATGAGCATTTACCATTCTGAAAAATCCTAAGACTTTAAAGAATCACGCCAAACCTATTATTTCTGGGCTGTTTTAAAAGGAACAACAAAAGCGAAATGAGACCACATCCTTTTATAACCTGCATTACTGAATATCTTAAGCCCACTGTTTTTGTTTTGGGAGGTGATATTCAAATCATTAAGATGGTTGAGTTTAACATCTGCGATGACCTTCATGTCAACTCATGACTCCACATGGATGGAAGTAATCTGCTTATTTGTCTCAGAACTGTGCAAGTCAATGAGTTGTTTGTGGATTCCCATCTGAAAACGATCCCAAGTCTTAAAACCACCACCACATGGATTTTTCTCATAGCGATTGAGTGATCCTAGATTCCTGGCAGACACCAGAACTAGTCCTTTGCTTCCTGGATATTTTCCTTTGTACCTCTGATGAAATCAGTACACATTTCAGGGATTATTCCTGCCTCTGCACTCAGGTACGACTTCTGGCGGTGTTTGGGGGACCATATGGAATGCTGGGGATGGAACCCAGGTCAACTGTATGCAAGGCAAATGCCCAACCTACTGTGCTCTTGCTCCAGCCCCTGGTTAGAGTGATTCTATTTCAGTGAAGTCATCTCTAATGTCTCCAGTGTCTTTCCAACTATCTTTAAAACCCATGATTGCAGAATCCTGACATATATGTTCTCCAACAAGAGAGAACTGTGGTGAGTCACGAGGAGTGGGCCGTTAGGAGCTCTGCTGCAGCTCTGACTGCATCTTCTATAAGGGAAACCTACTGTTAAGACTGCTCACAAAAATAATTCCTGTCCAATATTACTGTGCATTGACAACATACTTGGTTATCAAAGAGCAGTAGTGGCGTAGTACAAGACTAAATACTGTTTTCCAGCCTGCCACAATAGTCACTCTGTACCATAGACCAAGGATTAATTCCAACTTTACATCTTCTTTGTTTTGGGGCCATGTGTGGTGGTGTTCAGGGCTGACTACTTGCTCTGCACTCAGGGCTCACTTGTGAAGGTGTTCAGGAGCTGGGGATTAAACCCGGTCAGCTGTGTGCAAGGCAAGTGCCCTGCCGGCTGTACTATTGCTCCGGTCCTGATTCCAGTTTTTTTTTTCTTTCTGATTCCAGTTTTGAAAGAAGCTCAATGATGGATAAAATGCTACCAGACAGGATTACATGCCACAGTGAGAACTCTGGTGAAAGGAAGTGCACATCGATATGGTATGCTTCACTGCTCTTACTCAGGTAGCTGCCCCAGCCATCCCAACTTTGATTAGCAGTTACCCTGCCCATCACCAGGCAGCAGTTAGAATACCAAGACAGACAAGACCTTCCACAGCAGAGGTTATGAGTGGCTTTACGATCCAAAGTAGGCTATCATTTTTTTTTTTAAACAAGGTTTATTTTGTGCAGCTCTGGGGATTGAACCCAGGCCTCTAAAATGCAAGGCAGGCACTCTACCATTGAGGCATATCCCTGGCTCCCGATAAGTTTTATTTTTGGCCCACACCTAGTGGTACTCAAGGGGCTATTCCTGGCTCGGTGATCGGTGATAAGAAGTGATCCTTGGTGGTACTTAAGGGGTCTAATGTGGTGCCTGGGATCAAACCAGGGTCAACAGCATGCAAGGCAAACGCCTGGTCTCCATATTATCTTTCTGGGCCCCAGGAAGCATTTTAAAATTTTATTTTGGTTTTTGCGTTATACACTGATATGCTCCTTTCTCTGCACTTAGGGATCGCTACTGGTGGACTTGGGGGACCATATAAGGTGCTGGAGACCAAACTGGGACGTTATGTGAAGGCAAGCACCCTACCGACTGTACTATTGCTCTGGCCCATCTGAGCTCTTCTTCAAATGCTTCCCAAGTTCCTGTGTCTTTATTTGCTTGACAAGCACCTATTTATTATTATTTTTTTCCCTTTTGAATCACACCCGGCGATGCACTCCTGGCTCTGCACTAAGGAATTACTCCTGGTGGTGCTTGGGGGACTGTATGGGATGCTGGGAATCCAAACTGGGTTGGCCATGCGCAAGGCAAACACCCTACCCGCTGTACTATTGCTCCAGCCCCATTATTATTATTTTTAAAACCACATCGGCTGTGAACTCAGGATCACCCCTGGAGGGCTCAGGGGACGATATGGGGTCAGCTGTGTGCAAGTCAAGTGCCCTACCTGCTATACTATTTCTTGGCCCCCAAGCATTCACTCATTTTTTAAAAGATTAACTGAAACATCACCATATCTGGTCCATCCTCCTCACCCTAACCCCCGTCAAGAAATCATTTTCTTTTTTTGGTGCTTGGGGGTCCCGTGTGGTTCTGGAAATCAAAACTGACAGCCTACCACATGCAAAGCATGTGAATTCACCCTTTGAGCTGTATCCCAGGTCTGTTCTTTCCTTCTTTGTTTTCTTATCCAGACTTTCACCCAGGCATCACTAGTTATCTTTATTTATGGCTTTGGTTTATTTTTTTGTGCCACATCTGGAGGTGTCAGGGCTTAGTCCTGCTCGGAACTTAGGAACCAATCACTCCTGGCAGGCTCAGGGGACCACATAGGATGCCAGGGATCAAACCCAGGTCAGTCAAGTGCATTTCTCTAGCCCCTATCTGTATTTATTGATACACATTTCTCCCATCATGAATGTCTTTAGGTCATCTTCCCACTAAGCACCTTGTATAAAAAATAAATTTCTGTTGATTCAATATAAAATCAGCAAATTATGTAAGCAACCAGGATTTATAAAAATATGCAGACAAAATTTGTAATGATACAAAATGACATTTTCATTGTGTTTTTTGTTTTTAGGTCACACCTGCTGTTCTCAGGGCTTACTCCTGGCTTTGTGTCCAGGGATCACTCCTGGCGGGCTGGAAGGACCATTTGGGGTGTCAGGAATCAAACCTAGGCTGGCTGATAGTACAGTGAGTAGCAAGTGTGCTACTCACTGTACTATCACTCTGGCTCCCAAAGTATTTTCAAAACATCAAAAAGCAAATGTACTTAACCATTCTCAGCTCATGACAGAGCAAATGGGTGAGTGGAATGATAATTGATACACATGCTAGTGCATGTTTAGTGAACCAGCAACAAAGAAAGTTGAGGGTAGGCAGAACTTTTCTCTTCAAGAAATTAGAACCGAGGGGCTCCATAATCATCCGGCATCCGTTCAATGTTATACCTGAACAGGACAAAAAGTTAACAGTGGTAAGAAAGCTGGGCTCAGAAACATGTAAAAACCCGCCCTTTACTGATACCAACGTTCGCCCCCTCTGAAATGACTCCATCCAATTACTGGGAACATCTGAGAGGAAGAGCATAATGGACGTTGCATTATCTTTTTTCTTTAAAGTCAGAGAAAGTTTGCAAGTTGGAATCCAGGCTCTGCGTCTCCTAATGCATTATGCTCTCCCCAGGCCAAAAGCTGGACAATCATACTCTGAGGACTGACACGGACACATTCAAAAAGGATAAAAGACCAGCTTTTGGTTTTTACAAACTTTTAGTTTCCAGATGAAGGGCTAATCACATGTACCAAACTTTCAAAAACAAGATCTCTGGCCAAAATTATTTGCTTGATTTAAATTACTGTTTTGTACTGAAGGCAACACATGTCTCTACTTCTACTAATCTTATTGTGAAAATATGAATGTCTCATTCCTAAATCCTAGCTTTATTGTTTGCTCTTGTTACTTTGTCTTACTTCTCCAAATATAGCTATACACTGATACAACAATCTCCTCCAAATCCCTCTATAAAACCTGACCTCATTTCACACTGATACTTACTATGCACTGTTAATAATTTCCCACCAGAAAGTTCTCACCTATGATTAGAAATGTACATGATAGGAACTCCGGGGATCTTTCGAATTCTTCTTTTAAGGTCTCGGTCAACAGTGGCCACAATGTAACATTTGTGCTGCAGGCAAACAATTAAGAATTCATAAAACTTTCAGAGTCAACATCTTCATACTGGATAAGGCACCAGACTAGCCAGTTTTAATCACTCACTTTCATAGTAAATAGCTCAGGAAAGGTTACAAAAAATTCATAGACAACTACCATGATCTAGAAGCTCTTATTTATAAACATAAGACGGCAATACAGCTCAAACTTGAAGGGAGAAGAAAAACTATTTAAGTTGTTTTCTGTCACATTTGGGAGAAAATGATGAAGGGATTCTTTGCAAAGGTGTGAGTGCCTTAGAACGGGGGTCACAGTTCGTCTTCTCTGGGCTCTGCAGGTTTGGGTTTAGTCTGAGACCACCTACAGAGAATTGTGGAGACAAGACAGTCAGGGCTAAGAATCCAGACTAGGATCTCCAGGTCAAGTGAGAGCCTAACAGTGATGAAAGCAGCAACATTTGGAAGTGGAATTTGGAAGTGTTGGTTACTTTCACACTTATTCTCTGTTAAGGTTAAATAAGGAATTACTGGCTGGTGTCAGCTACACAATAGGAAGTTAAAGGAAACGTACTCCCACCATAGATGGGGTGGCTAAAGGGATAGAGATGTGGTGACCAGTTAAAGACAATTCTAATCTGCAGAGACAGGCTTTTTTACTGTCTTTGGGGTGGTGGTATTGGGGCCGTATCTGGCAGTGCTCAAAGGCTACTCCTGCCTCTGTGCCTGGGGGTTTTCCTAGCAGTGGAATTGTTGCACACAAGGCAAGGCATTTACCCCTGTACTTTATCCAGTCCACAGAGGTTTGGTTTGGTTTTCTTTCAGGGTTTGGGGGCAACATTTGGCAATGCTCAAGGGCCATTCCTGGCAGTGCTTGGGGGACCATATGTGGTGCTGGGAACAGCCTATGCAAGGCAAGTGGCTTAACCCCAGTATCTCCATACTACAGTGTCGTTGTCTCCCTACCTCCCCAACACCCCCGTTCTTAAAAAGGACAATCAATAGCAGCAATTCTATGATGTTTCATAAGAAAGCCAGAAGACAAGAATAAAACTTTCTTGGGGCCGGAGCAATAGTACAGCGGGTAGGGAATTTGCCTTGCACGCGGCCAACTTGCGGCCAACTCGGGCTCAATCCCCGGCATCCCATATGATCCCACAGCACTGCTAGGAGTAATTCCTGAGGATTGATCCCTTGGGTGTGACCCAAAAAGCAAACAAACAAACAAAAGCTTTACTTATTTCTGGTTTTTTTTTTTTTTTTGCTTTTTTTCTTTTAGGTCACACCCGGCGATGCACAGGGGTTACTCCTGGCTTTGCACTCAGGAATTACTCCTGGAGGTGCTCGGGGGACCATATGGGGTGCTGGGAATTGAACTCCGGTCGGCTGCGTGCAAGGTAAACATCCTGCCTGCTGTGCTATCACTCCAGCACCCCTTTACTTATTTCTTGGGGCTGGAGAGAGTATAATTATACTTGCCTTGCATAAGGCTGACTTGGGTGAACCCCTGGATCCCACACGATCCCCATACACTGCCAGGAGTAATTCCTAAGTATTGCCAGGTGTAACCAAAACAGAAACAAACAAACAAACAAACAAAAACCCAAGAAACCTCCAAAACCCTTTCAAACTTGATTTATTTCAGTGTATATATGAGACAGCGCCCCTAGAAACTCACATTTAACAGAGAAACTTTCGGATTAGGGAGAGATAGAATAAAATTTCTCCACGAGAGTGAATAGAAATACAATCTTAGAATCATAGGGTGTGGAATCTTAAAATTATATTTGTATACATCCACTTAAAATCATTTTCTACACAAGATTTGTGGAATAAAGAGTCAGAAGTGCCCAAATCACATAGCTGGTAAATGCATGTACTGGGATTTGAAGCACAGGTTTCTCCCATGGCAGTGCTCCCCCTTTCTCAGGTCATGAAGCACCTACCCTTACAATGAAGGGGATTGGGATTTGGGGTTGCACTCAGCATTACTGAGGCTCTGTGCTCGGGAGTGGCTCCTTGTAGTGCTTTTTTTAAGTATGTGGGGTGCACAAGTCAAACAGGGTCAGCAGTGTGCAAGATAAGTGACTTAATCCTTGTTATTATCTTTCCTCTATTCAGGGAAGGCCGTCCTCTTCGACCAAGCGCACAGCTTCGGGAGGGACGCACATGGAGCGGTGAGGGAGGAAGGGGACACCCTCCTAGCCAGCCAGATCAGCAGAATCAACCCTAGCGATCAATGGGGTGACAGATGTCGCAGCCAGATCGCCTTTCCTACCCCCACAGTGAAGAAATTTTATATACATTTTTTGTTTTGTTTTGGGGCCACACCAGGCAGTACTCAGGGGTTACTCCTGGCAGTACTTGGGAGACCATATGGAATGCCAGGGATCAGACCCAGCTTAGCCATGTATAAGACAAAATGCCTTACCTCTGTATTATCACTCTGGCCCCTAAAAATTTTTATTTTTTTTGCTTTTTTTTGGGTCACACCCAGTGATGCACAGGAGTCACTCCTGGTTCACGCACTCAGGAATTACTTCTGGTGGTGCTTGGGGGACCATAGGGGATGCTGGGAATTGAGCCGGCTGCGTGCAAGGCAAACGCCCTACCCGCTGTGCTATTGCTCCAGCCCCTGGCTCCTAAAATATTTTTAATATTCTTAAATACTTGGCTATCTTGAACATTCTGGCGATAACAGTTCACCTTATTATTATTAGTTTTTTTTGCTATACCAGGCTATGATCACAGATCACTTCTGGCAGCACTTAGGGAACCATAAGCGTGCTAGGGATTGAATCCAGATCATCCGTGCGCAAACAAAAGCCTTACCTGTTATATTATCTCTCTGGCACTCACCTTATTTTATCAGTGTGCTCAGGGCTTATTCCTGGCCCTGTACTCAGGGATCATTTCCAGTGGGCTTGGGGAACCATATATGGTGCTAAGGATTGGCATGAAAGGCAAGTGTCCTACCCATTGTACTGTTTCTTTGGCCCCAGCTTTCTTTCTTTTTAAAAAATTTATTCATTTGTCTTAAATTTTATTTATTTATTGCTTTTTGGGTCACACTCTGCAATGCACAGGGGTTACTCCTGGCTCTGTGCTTAGGAATCACCCCTGGCGGTGCTCAGGGGACCATATGGGATGCCGGGAATCAAACCCAGGTTGGCCGCATGCAAGGCAAACGCCCTACCCGCTGTGCTATTGCTCCAGTCCCCCAGCTTTATTTCTTAAGGCACAAAGCAGCATGTATACTTAAAAACTGGTGATACCTGAGTGACTCTTTGTACTAAGCAGTCATCTGCATACGTTCCTTTGTGTGCGCATGGTAATCGTTCAAATCTTGGATCCTTGGCAATCCTGGAGAATTGTAAAAGTAGGTTAATTAAGGCAATTGGGTAACTTTCTGAGTATCAATTACGTAAATAAAAGCAACAATTAGGTAAATAAAAGAGATTTTAAGACATCCTCTTACCTTCTAATTAAAAAGCAACTTCCACGGAGGGGAATTAGAGCTTACAGCCTAACAGTATGTGTGCCTGAGGTCATTTATATTTCACAAAACTCAGTAATTTTAGATTTCCATGTCAAAGATGAGGAAGCACACTGAGAGCAATTCATTTGTTCAAAGCTACATAACTAGAAAAAGTTAGGACTCAAACCAAATACCTTTTTTCCCTCTTTTTTTTGGCGGGGGGGGGGGGCATATGCAATGCTCAGGGCTTACTCCTGACAGACTCAGGGGACCATGTGAGCCTGGGTTAGCTGTAAGCAAGACGAACACCCAACCCTGCTATACTACTGCTCTGGCTCCCAAATCACTTTTAACTCAAATACTTCACTTTAGGAAGCTGTTTCACACAAATGTAAAAGAAAGAGGGACAAGGACGGTCATTATAACCCAGTATATATAACAGTAAATATGAGATAATTGGAATCATCAGCAAGATAAACGCTAAACGCATTTTCTATGAATATTATTAACATTCTTCTATGACACACACCTAAGAGTCCAGAGACCAGAGTCCGAGAATAGTTACTTTAAAATCAGGGGTGCTTTCTAAAATCATGCCTAGAATGTGAATCCTTTAAATGTGATTCTGATGATATCTAGATAATAAATAGATTTAAAAAACTGAAAATCTTGAGGTGTATTTATTTTGTTTTGGGGTCACATCTGGTGGTGATTTTTGTTTTTTGTGTCACACCCAAGTGGTGATCAGGACTCATTCCTGGTGGAGCTTGGGAGATCATTATGAGATGCCCGGGATTAAATCCGAGTTGGCTGCATACAAAGAAAGCACCCTATCTGCTGTACTATAGCTCGGGCCCCCTGGTGGTGATCAGGTCTCACTCCTGGCTCTGTGCTCAAGGATCACTACTGACAGTGTTTAGGTGACAATATGCATTGCCAGGGATCTAACTGGAGTTGACCACATGCAAAGCAAGCACCTAAACCCCTGTTCTGAGAGGAACTTGAAGGCCCAAAGACCAACATGACTAAGTAACTTGGTTTAATAAAGCTTCTGCTTAAATATCGTTAAATATCGCTAATCTTCAAGTGTTTATTTTCTCTTTCTTTCTTTCTTTCTTTCTTTCTTTCTTTCTTTCTTTCTCTCTCTCTCTTTCTCTCTTTCTCTCTTTCTTTCTTTGCTTTTTGGGTCACACATGGCAATGCACAGGGGTTACTCCTGGCTCTGCACTCAGAAATTACGCTTGGTGGTGCTCAGGGGACCATATGGGATGCTGGAAATTGAGCCCAGGTCAGCCGTGTGCAAGGCAAACGCCCTACCTGCTGTGCTATCGCTCCAGCCCCAAGTGTTTATTTTCTTAATTACAAACAATTGATCAGTTTTGCATTACTTTTTTGAGTGCATGAGCACACCTAGAAGTGCTCAAAACCTGCCCCTCTGGTGAGGTTCAGGGGACAATGTGGTGCCAGGAATCGAATCTGGGCCTCCTCAATATGCTCCCATGCATTTAGCTAGGTTTTTTTGCAGTTTATACATGACTTTTATTTAAATTAACGGGCTAAAACTTCTGGTCAGCAATTAAGAGACAGTGGGTCAAACCTCTCCAGTACATCACCTAGAACATATCTAGATCAGCCCTTTCTTTTTTTTTTTTCTTTTTGGGTCACACCTGGAGGTGCACAGGGGTTTCTGCTGGCTCCAGCCCCGAGATCAGCCCCTTCTTACCTGAGAGCTACTCGATACTTCTGCCCCAATTTTTCAATCTCAGCCATCACACAGTCAGTTATACAAGGGATACCTGCCAGGGAAAAAACACATTTTAGAAACAGAACTTATGAAGAAATAGAATATGCTCTAAATTACATCCTATTTATGGTCTTGAGAAGGCACATTAGATAGCTGGAATAACAGCAGAATAAACATACTGAAATGAAGAACTAGAAGGAAAATAAAATCTATTCATTTCATCATTAATTTTACCTTCTGAAGGGAGAGGAAGGCAAGGGAGGGCTCTATGGTTTCTTTTTCGCTAATGAAAACATTTAAAAGCGACCTAGTGTGTAATCAGCCAGAAGTGTGTGTGGGGCTGAGGATGGGTAAAATAGAGAAGGGACAGCTATGGGAATCACAGCTGGGAATGATCATGCTGGACAAGAGCTGAGAGTAGGTAAAGGGATATTCTTTTATTTCCTTTTTTTGCTTTTTGGGTCACACCTGGCACAGGGGCTACTCCTGGCTCATGCACTCAGGAATTACTCCTGGCGGTGCTCAGGGGACCATATGGGATGCTGGGAATCGAACTCAGGTCAGTCGAGTGCAAGGCAAATGCCCTACCCGCTGCGCTATCACTCCAGCCCCCGGTAAAGGGATATTCTTGATAACCTTTCAGTATCAATACTGCAACCCACAATGCCCAAAAGTGTAGAGAGAGAGAAAATCGTGTACTAGAGAGGCAGGCTGGGGATGGGAGGGGTGATGGGAAAGAAACTGGGGAAACTAGTGCTGGGAAATGTACAATGGTGGAGGGATGGGTGTTGGATTACTGTACGACTGAAACCTCATCATGAATGGCTCTGTAAGAGTCTATTTTACAGTGATTCAATAATAATAAAAAAGATACAGAGAATAATTTAGCAAATATCAATTTGTTCCTAATCAGCTTAACAATGAATTTTAAAAAAAAGGGGGGTGGTCTGGAGTGATAGTACAGTGGGTAGGGCGTTTGCCTTGCATGTGGTGACCTGGGTTTGATCCCCTGGCATCCCAAACGGTCGCCCAAGCATGGCTAGGAGTAATTCCTGAGTGCAGAGCCAGGAGTAACCCTTGAGCATTGCTGGGTGTGACCCAAAAAGCAAGCAAGCAAACAAACAAACAAAACCCAAAACACAAACAAAACAAGCATTTCTACTTCTTGTGTTATTGTCTCATTTACTTTACAAAACCCATTTACGGCTTACTCATCCATAACTGCAATTCTATTTTTGGTATTTATTGATCTGATGCATGGGTAGCAGTATATTGAATGCACATGCACCTTTAAACAACATACAATGTTCATATGTTTTTAAAGTTTATATAAACAATGTAATGCAACATGTCACATTTAATAAGTTATGTCTTTGATGTTTATGTATGTGTAACTTTATTTTCACTGCTATATAGTATTTCATGCTGTAACTTCCCACTCACTGACTCTCATGAAAAAAATCTTTCCCACAATAAACTCAAAAGATACTCAGCATATAAAAAAACAAATAAATAAAATTGACCCAGTCTTCGAAGACACTACAAGCCATGAGCCTTCAAAGGGTCAACTGACGGTATGTGAATTACATCCCAATAAAGCTATTTTACAAATTCACAAAAAGGGGGCTGGAGGAATAGTATGGCAGAAGGGCACTTTTCTTGCTTGCAGCCAGCCCAGATTTGAGCTCTGGCACACCACCATAGGGTGCCTTGAGTCCCGTCAGGGGTGATCCCTGAGCACAGAGCCAGGAGTAAGCCCTGAGCACAGCTGGGTATGGCCCAAATAAACATAATCACAAAAGGACAAGAGAAATAGCTCCACAGCCAGGGGGACCTGAGTTCAAACCCCTGCACCACATGCCGCCCGAGAACGCAGTGCCTGAGCACAGCCGCACATACTCTGGCTCTAGCATCGTACAGCCCAGTCCAGTTGGTATTACTGGGAGTGACCCCAGGTTCCTGGCCTCCTGCCACAGTTTGAGAAACCTCTCAAAAAAACTCAAAAAGGAAGACAGCAAATATCAGGTGATCCATTTTAAATTTTTATTTTATTAAAACAAAAAACTAAACAAAAACTAAAAACAAAAACCACTCAATAGAGATCATGTGTAAATTTTTGTTGCTTTTTGGGTCACACCCAGTGATGCTCAGGAATCCTGGCTCTGCACTCAGGAATCACTCCTGGTGGTGCTTGGGGACCCCATGGGATGCTGGGAAACGAACCCAGGTCAGCCGCGTGCAAGACAAGCACCCTACCCGCTGTACTATTGCTCCAGCCCCCATATGTGAATTTTAAGAAACTGCCAAGACAGAAAGTATAGCAGGCAAGGTGCTTGCCTTGCATGTGGCAAACCTGAGTTTGATCCCTGGAACCCATGGGGTCAACCAAGCCCTGTTAGGATTGATCCCTGAGCACAGAACTAGGAGTAAATTCTGAGCATTGCTGAGAGCCCCTTCTCACCCCCTACCCCCCAAAACCCTGAAAAACAAATAAACAAAAATTGCCCCACGGAGGCTAGGGAGATGGTTTACAGCCTGGAGTGCGTACTTTCCCCAGATTGTTCTCCAAACCTCCAAGTGATAGTAGGAACGATGCCCAGGCACTGAGGTGGGGGTAGTGTTATGGTGCCAGGGTTCAAACAAGGGCTGAACTGCCTGTGATGTTCTCCCGCTCTTCTCTTTTCATGTCAGTGGATACATCTGACTACTCTGCACAAATGTCACAGAAACATAAAAGTACGATACTCACACTTGGCATACAGACAGTCCATCATTGATTGTACTAAGTCCAGTTTGGCTTTAATGGAGAAGTTGATAAAGTTGGTATCAACCAGGATATGGTACGGTGGGCCCAGCTGCGTGTTATATTGGAAAAATAAGCAGGAAGGGTGCTGGGTGCTGAGGGAAAAAGAAACAAAACAGAATGTCCACGTTGACATTTTAGTATCAACAAACACAACAAAGACATCTCTGAATAGAACCGTTTGCTATAGATTTCTATTTTTAGCTCTTTTTCTATTTAATGGAAATAAACCTTATATATTCATCATCAATCCTCGGCAAAATGAGAAATATAAGGAAAATGTGATGAGGTTTCCAAAAAGTCAAATGTACTATCTTTATTCTGAAAAAGGTGACCTTACTACTTTATTCCCCCCATTTGGGCCACATCCCATGATGCCCAAGGATAACTCCAGCTTTAGGTTTGCAGTGCTGGAGATAGAACCGAGGCCTCCAAGCAAAGAATGTGCCCCAGTCCTGTGAGCTACCTTGGTCCTGGCTGTATTTTTGTCATGTATTTTGAAACCAGGTCACACTACCGACAGCTTACATCTGAATGTGGTTAATTAACACAAATTGGAGTGCCAGAGTCAAGGGGTTAATGAAATGCGAGTGAGTTAAACAATGTTAATTATTTTTGCTGTTAAGACTCTGGGAAAAGAGAAATATTAATAGCCTCAGATTAAACTCCTAGAACTTTAGGCGAAATTCTGACCCATGAAATTAAAACTCTTCTTATTTCTGGGCCACACCCAATCGTGCTTAGGAATCACTCCTGGTTGTGCTCAGGAGACTGTGTGTGGGTGCTAGGGATCAAACTGGAGTCATCTATATAGAGGAAAGCACTTTAACTCCTCTTCTATCTCTCTAGCTCCTCTTCAAAAATGTTTCAACTAGTGAAAATGTGTGTAGGAAGCTCTGGCAGTCACCCTCACGAACCAAATCTAGTGCCACCCGGTAAGCTCTACTACGGGCCTTGCTTCAGAGACCCATAAATAAATCTTGAAAGAGATAAAAAGCCGCAGATAAGCTCAGACCTGCGAATGGCTGAACAGGGGTAAATCAGAGGAGCGGCGGGTTGGCCTGTGCCCGCCCAGGTTGTGGGTTGGTTGTGCCCTCTGGTTGGCCAGAGCTTCTGGCAGTCACTTGCTTCCACAATCCAAAATCGCCACCGTACTCCTAGCCTGACTCCACTATCTCAGGACGAACCTTACCAAGATATAATCTGCTAAAAATTTTGATATGTGGGTTTTGTGACAGAAATCTCCAGGCTTTCTTGGGGTCGGGATGGGCTACGTCCCCCACCTCCTTGTACTTTCGGAAGCCTCAGCAGTCACATCCAACACCCCAAAGCTGCCATCCACCTGAAAAGGTACTCCAGCCTTACTATGCCGATAAAAATACTGAATGCCCCAAACAAACACCATGACCTCTTAGCGCCTGTATTGCAAACCATAATGCATAAAAGGAAAAGGAAAGAGAGAGCAAGAAGGAAAATGCCTCCCATAGAGGAAGGCTGAGGGTAGGGGGTGGGGGTTGGGGATGGTGCTGGGGAAACAGAGGACACTGGTGTTGGGAGATGTGCACTGGTGGAGGGATGGGTCATGAAAACCAACTATAAACAGCTTTGTAATAGTCGATCTCACGGATATCCAATTAAAAATAAAATGAAAAGTAATGTGGAGTTCATGCCCAGCTCAATCAGCTTAATCAATGGCTGAATAAATAGCAGTACCCCTACACTAAAAAAGGAAAAAAAAAGAAAAAGAAAGAAAATGATATGCTCTTCTCTCAAAGAGAGAAGAGCAGAAGTACTGCTAGATGCGGCAGAAGCTGGGAAAAGTATTCGTAACGCCTCCCTGTCCTTCACCAACTACAAGACCAAGATGACTGCCCTCCGACGTCCTGATGGATCCATCACATCCTCCAGAACAGCAATGGAGAAGATTATCCATGACTTCTACTCAAATCTCTTCGATAGCCATGTCCACTTGCTGACATACCAAATTCCACAGGATGGATATGTCGTTCCCAACGTTCTCCCTTCCGAAATCCGACATGCCATTTCGTCGGTAAAGAAACAAACAGCACCCGGCCCAGACATGGTCAGACCTGAACACCTGAAGAACCTGCCATCAGTACTCATCAATACACTGGCTCGGCTCTTCACTCGCTACCTGTCTGAATGCAAGGTTCCGTCCCAATGGAAAACCAGCAGGACCGTACTACTGTTCAAGAAGGGAGACATCCATGACATTGGCAACTATCGCCCGATCTGCCTATTGTCTATCATCTACAAGTTGTTCACTCGAGTCATCCTAAATAGGATTGGCAGAACACTAGATGAAGGACAACCATGCGAGCAAGCCGGGTTCCGCAAAGGATTCAGCACCATCGACCATATCCACACGATAACCAAGCTCATTGAGGTTTCTTGGGAGTTCAAGATGCCTCTCTGTCTAACGTTCATTGATTTAAAGAAGGCCTTTGATTCTGTTGAGACGGAAGTGGTCATTGAAGCCCTAGCCAATCAGGGCATTCAAGCCCAATACATCAGGATCCTCCGTGAGCTGTATTGCGGATTCACTACCAGGATCTCACCATTCTACAAAGAAGTGATTGTTGATGTCAAGAGAGGGGTGTGGCAGGGTGATACCATTTCATCGAAACTCTTCAGTGCCACCTTCGAGAACATCATGCGACAACTGGAATGGGAAGGAATGGGAGTGAAGATAGATGGTCGGCAACTACACCACCTCTCCGCTTTGCTGATGACATTGTTTTAATAACACCAAACATCAGCCAAGCGGCACAAATGCTGGCTGACTTTGACCGTGAGTGTGGAAAGATAGGACTACAGCTGAATCTTACGAAGACAATGTTTATGAGAAACAGCCTCGTTCCTGACGCCCCATTCGCTCTCAACAGAACGACCATCTCCGAATGCAACAGCTATGTGTACCTAGGTCGAGAAGTCAACATGACAAATGACCTGGCACCCGAGCTGCGCAGGAGGAAGAGAGCGGCTTGGAATGCCTTCAAGAACGTCGAAGAAATAGCTAAGAGGACGAAGAACCTCCGGCTCCAGAGGATATCTCTTTGATTCCACTGTTCTTCCTGCATTAACATATGCCTCAGAGACCTGGGCCCTACGCAAACAGGATGAGAATGCTATTCAGGTCTCCCAAAGAAGAATAGAAAGAGCTATGCTTGGAATATCACGTTTCACTCAAATAAGAGAAAAAATCCGGAGTTCCGACATCCGTCGACGATCAAGAATCAGGGACGCTGTCTCATTTGCCAAGGTGTCAAAAATCAGATGGGCTGGTCACGTAATGAGATTTAAAGACGACCGCTGGACTAGAGCTGTTACTGACTGGATTCCACGGGATGTCAAAAGACCGTGTGGCCGCCCACCTACCAGATGGTCAGACTTCTTCATCAAGATCATGAACGATCGGTTTGAGGCTCTTCATGTTCCCAGAGCGAACAGATGCCATTGGGCTACACTAGCACGCGACAGGGATAAATGGAGACGTTACTGGCGCCCGCTCGGGCAAATCGACGACTAAGGGGAAGTTAAGTGATTAAGTGATGTACTCATTAACAGCACTTTCATTTGCATAGCTGAGCCAGACTCACAAATGATTGAGTAAACTAGCATAGGAAAAATCTGAATTTCAAGGTTTTAAAATGTCTCTTGTAGTTTGTTTTGGTGAAGCAAGGTAATTTTCACTGAAACCTATTTAGAAAGATGTGAGGGGAGAGAAAGGGAGAAGTCTGTGTCTGAGAGAGAACACAGTCTTCTCCAGAGTGGAAATGAGCAAGCAAAGAAAACAAAGGCAAGCAAGTGAGATGGGTTCCAGGGTAGCACCAACTTGGAATGAAAGCCATCTCTTCCAGTTTTAAAAACATGAGAATTATGGTTACTCACACTTCTCTTTCCTTAAGTGCACTGGGATCTTTCTTTACTTTCTTTTTAGGTTTTAATCTGTCCTTTTCTTTCCTAAGGGGGGGAAAAGTTCATTAAATGCAAGAAGGAAAACAAGAACACATAGCAGCTATTATCTCATTTGAAATGAGAAGGCTTTTTGGTTTTGGTTTAGAAAGAAAATTCTACTTCGTGATTTTTTTGTTTGTTTGTTTTGCTTTCTCCCAGTGATGCTCAGGAGTAAGTTTTATTCCCAATTCCCCTCTCCCTGTGCCCCCCATTTTTGGGAAAAAGGTGGAGGTACTCAGGAATTACTCCTGGCATGGTGGGGGACAGGGGCAGGGGGTGGCATATGAAATGCTGGGGATCTAATCTGGGCCAGCCATGTGTAAGGCAAGTATCCTATCTGCTATACTACTGCTCCAGCACCTAGGAATTACTTCTGGCAGTGCTCGGGGAACCATATGGGATGCCAGATAGTGAACCTTGGTCAGTGCGGGCAAGACAAACATCCCACCCAAGTACTATCACTCTGCCCCCATCCCCCCAAGTGATTTCTTCACTAGAATATCAGCTTATAATGTCCTGGATGGAATATAATATGGAAGAAACATAATTACTCAGATAACGAAATTTAAAAATCTCCAGCCAAAGGCCATAAAAATTGTTAATAGGTAAATAATTATTGGTTGTACTATTATTTTTCTTTTTTTTGTTATTATTTTTCTTTGATTTTTACATCAAGGATCAAAATCCTCTCCAAGCTGTAGGGAAGCAGGCTGATGTCTATATCTGAAAACTCGTGCTTTAGTGACAGGTAGGGAGGCAGGGTACCCCATATGGCTATTATGAAGAGCTAAAATGTACTAAAACTTATACAAATGACCATTCCTTTTTTTCCTGAGGGCTCTTCACTCAGGCACCACTCCTGCCGGGGCTCAGGGGACCAAATGGGGTCTTGAGATGGAAACTGGGGTAGTTGTGAGCAAGGTAAGCACCTTGCCTGCTGTGCTATCTCTCCAGTCCCTTTGTGAGAAATACTGGTCCTGATTTTCTAACTTTGTTCACCTGTCACTGCTGCAAGTGACTAGGGCCCCAGAATATACATACACACATATATATATATAATGTCAGGTGCTAGAGACAGAATAACAAGGTTGCGCATACCTGTTATTCAACAATTACACTTCCCTAACTCCTGCCCCTCGATATAGTGGCTAATGGCAAGAACGTACAGACAATCCCACCTCCATCATAGAACTTTATCAGGCCGAAACGTGAGATGCTGGCTAGAAGTCCTGGGCAGGTGAAACACTTCAGAGAGGCTTCATTCCTGCCCCCTACAGCTCAGCGGGGCAATTCCACTTAGCTTACAATGTAGCTTAGGAGGCTTCCCCATAAGTCAATCAAGACACAGTAATTTCATGCCATAGTAAATGCAAGGCACAATAATGTCAGAAACACACATAAAACCGCGAATGAATAAATAAATAAATAAATAAAATAAAAGCACCCTCCTTCGTGGCTCCCTACCAACCCCGGGTGCGTCTAGGAACCCAGGGGACGCCAGACACTCACAGCCTCTGGTCTCGGAGACTGAGCATTCGCTTCATGGTCGCAAACTTCCTGGTCTTCTTCTGTTTCCCCTTGGGGCAGAAAGTGCAGAGTTAAAAAACAAACAAACAAACTGGGAGCTGGAGCGATAGCACAGCGGGTAGGGCGTTTGCCTTGCCCGCGGCCGACCGGGGTTCAATTCCCAGCATCCCATACGGTGCCCAGAGCATCTCCAGGAGTAATTCCTGAGTGCAATGAGCCAGGAGTAGTAACTCCTGTGCACTGCCGGGTGTAACCCCCCCCCAAAAAAAATGCCAAGAAGATTCGGAAACACACTGGCCTCTGCAGTTTCCCCCCTCTTCCCCTTCCCTTCTGCCCATTCCCCCATCCCCCCACCACTCCGCAGCTCCCCTTCCCCCCGCCGGGATGCGGGGGTCTCGGCGGGCCCCCAGAGGGGCGGCGAGCAGTCCACCGAGAGCCCAGCCGGCGGTCTCACCATCTCCACGCTGGGCCCCGGCTCCTTCCGGCACCGCCAGCCGCGCGTCCCGAGCGCGTCACCCCGCCCCCCTCACGCGCTTCCGGCGCGGGCCAGCCCGGAAGCGGAAGTCGCTTGGGGAAAGGGAAAAGCCCGGAGCCGGCTCCCAGCGCGGGCGTCTCGCTCCCCGGGCAGCGGCGCCCCCCGACCAGCCCGGTAACGTGGGTCTCCGTGGCCCCCCGGCGGCGCCAGGGGCAGAGGGAGGGAGGATGCGCGCAGACCCGGGGGCCGGGGGCTTGGGGGTGCGGGAGACGGGCTCCGAGTCCGGTTCTTCCTCGGTTCTCTTCCCTGGAGTTCCGAACCTCAGTACCCCCATCCTCGGCTCGGGAGTGCTTAGGGGGCTTTTGGGGCCGGGGGAGCGGGGAGGCGGCTTTGCACTTCTCTGAACTTCTCCGGCCGTCTGTCAGAAAGACTTTCAGGCAGAAAGTCGGGGCATGGTGAGCCTCGAGGTGGGTACCAGCCTCGAGGTGGGTACCAGTCGGCAGCTGGGGGGACGGTTAGGATGGAGGCGTGTTGACTCATCCTTAGGGGAGAGGGTTTTTATTATTATTTTTTTCCTTTGAGAGCTTCACGAAGAGAGGGAGCCGGTTTTTGTTTCTACTTCTTCTTTTAGTGGCTGCTATGTAGGTACTCCTGTTTTTTCTTCCCCCCACTTAACTTTTTGGAGATTGCCATCTCTTTGGCGGAGTGGAGGGGAGGGTCGAGGGAGGTGGAAATTAATAAAAGGGCTCTGGATCACCAGGGACGATTTTTTTAGAAAACGTCCTTGATAAGGGCACCCTTATCACGCCTGTCATCCGGCTCCGGGAATCAGGTGGGGACCTGATTCCCCCCCCCCCCCCCCCCCCCCCCGCCCCAGGGGAACCCTTGGGGTCGATGAGCCCACTAGTGGTGTTCTGTAGCCCGCACTTTAATCCACCTATGGTCAAGGTGCCCCCTCCTCATGTGCCTTTCGGAGAAGCTGGGGCTTAGACTTGGCTCCGGAGCCAGGTTGGGGTGTGCTTGATTCTGTAGCTTCTCCTGATGTACAAGGTCATTCCAGTGTGGGAAAGCCCCAAAGGTCGTTAGGTGAGGAGAAAGGTGACCTTTGCATGACCTTACTGTCCAGCAGCATTGTGTTGGTTAGCATGGTCTTCGCGGGGCTAACTGATGAGTTTTTGGAAAACAGCAACAACAACAACAAAAAACAACCCCAGCCTGTCTCTTCTAACTGTAGTCTGTGCTTCAGTTTGTTTCTTCATTGGTCAGAGGGAAGTATCACCATCACCAATTTAACCGGGTGGATGCTATCAGGACCGGAAGAATTCAAAGGGGAAACTCCCACGACAGTGCCCAGACACAAGTAAACCCAGAGAAAGTGATTTCTCTGCTATCTCGATAACTTCAAGAACCGTGATAATGACTTTCAAGAATCTCATTAGCGTTTAGATTCTTGAGCCCAATTGCAAAGTGGTTTCTTGGGTTGCTTTTGAGAATAGTTTTCTTCAACTGCTTCTCCTTTCTCCTGTAAACATGCGTCGTGCTTTTAGGTGACTTTGTAGTTCCACTTGTGACTTTTTAGCCCTGAATTTTTGATGTGGAAATAACTATATTAGTGAAAGCTTTATATTATTATATGTGCTTGATGCTTTTTTTTTTTTTTTTGGTCACACCTGACCTTGGTTGGGGTTTACTCCTGGTGCTGAGCTCAAGGATCACTCCTGGCAGGGCTCATGGACCATTTGGGGTGCTGGGAATTGAATCTCGGCCTGCAACTTGCATTGAGGTGCCCACCCACTATACTGTCTCTTTGGTCCCTATGCTTAATTCTTTACCTTATTTAAGGTCACTAGACATTTCTAATCTTTCTGGAACAGCTTATCTCTGCCAAGCTGTCGTTTATGGATAGAGCTGACAGCACCATTTTTATGACGCAATGGGACCTCTTGGTGATGTGGCAATAGTTTCTTTTCTTTCTTTTTTTTTTTAAGTAAACATGATTAGTTGTTTATTTTGAACACTTGGAGACCGATTAGTATTTTCTATAAATGTATAGGTTGAGAGGAAAATTGCATATAATTAAGTGGTAATTTGCATTTAAATGCAGGCACTGACAGAAAAACATTCTTTTGGTAATATGTACCCTGGATTTTGGAATCCGTGAACAATAACAAATTAAAAACAGCAAGCGGTTTGCAATACCTATTCTGAGAACTTTCTGATTTCCTTGATTGTTAGTACTTGATAGGGAGCTAAATTAATGTAGGAACACCCTGGGGGATGAGAACATTCTTTTAGAAAAGATTTTGTTGCATGGTAATTTTGTATTGAGATTCTTGTATCCCAAGATTAAAGTTCTCATAATCTACAGCAAGTTTTGATGGTGATGGAAGGGGGGAGATGGTGTTGGCTTTCTGTTGGGCAAAGGCATGAAATAATGCCTTTTGATTACATACTTGTGAGAAAAGGAAATGACTTTAGTCCTCAGCACTGAAGAGCATGGCTTTGTACTTCTCTGTAATATTGAAGAGGAAGAATTCAAGGCATTCAACCCACGGTTTGAAATCATAGTTGAGAGATCCCTGAGCACAGAGACAGGAGCCGGACTACTGGTGTTGTCATCTGAAAACAACAGCAACAACAAAATAATAATAATCATTTACAGGTGTTTCACTTTTTTTGGGTTTTGTTTCTGGGCCACACCTGATGGTGCTTGGACTTCATTTTCATTCACTAATTAGTGTAACTTACTAATTTAAATTGTTATCAAATTTCTTTATAAAACCATGGATAATGAAAGATGCCTTAAAGAACGTCTCTAACACTCTAACACTCAGTGTTAGAGTGTTAGAGATAGATTAAAATTTTTGTCGGGAAGGTGGTCCATGCCTGGTGATACTCAGGGCTTACTCCTGGCTTTGCGTTCAGGGATCAATCCTGGCAGAGCTTGGGGTGCTGCATGGGTGCCGGGAATTGAACCTGATTCAGCTCTCTGCAAGGAAAGAAACTTTCCTGTTCTGTTCATCTGCCCCCCTGTGAATTATTTTTACCCTAATGACCACAAAAATAAATCTACCTCTGGTACTGGAAAGATCCCTGAGCAGAGAAATGGGAGCAAGACTGCTGGTGTGTCACCTGAAAACAAAAAGTAATCATTTACAGATGTTTTATTCACTTTTTAAAATTTTATTTATGGGCTACATTGAGAGTGCTCAGTGCTTACTCTTGGCGGGGCTCAGGGAGCCATAAAGGATGCTGGAGATTGAACCTGGGTCTGCCTGGTAGGCCAGGCAAGTGCCCTACGCATTGTACTAGCACTCTGTCCCTATTTTCTTCACATTCAAATTAGAGTTTTTACACTTAGGACTTTTTTTGGCAGCGGGGCAGGGGAGGGTGCACCTGATGGTACTTGGGAACCATACTGTGTTGGGAATGAAACCTAGTGCTCCTGCAGGTAAAGCAGACAGTCCAGCCTTTTGGGCTATCTTCCTCCCCTCTCCCCACCCCCCCCCCTTTTAAATGTCCTGTGATAAGAGATTTTCCCCAACCAACATTGCTGTTAATTAATTTTCAGTTAACTGAATGTCTCCTAAATATGATCACATAACGTGCTCTTTTGCTAGGGTGTTGATACTAATTTGAATTCATACTATGAGTGGTCAGAAGTTTATCTTATGACTTAAATGGCCAGAGGTATATTACTGCTGTATGTTCATTCTGGTATATTACTGCTGTATGTTCATTCATGCTGGAGCGATAGCACAGCGGGTAGGGCGTTTGCCTTGCATGCAGCCAACATGGCCGACCCGCGTTCGATTCTTCCGCCCCTCTCGGAGAGCCCGGCAAGCTACCGAGAGTGTCTCGCCCGCACTGCAGAGCCTGGTAAGCTACCCATGATGTATTCGATATGCCAAACACAGTAACAAGTCTCACGATGGAGACGTTACTGGGCCCGCTCGAGAAAATCGATGAACAACGGGAGGACTGTGATACCATGATGTTCATTCATTCCAAAGGTGTTTGTTGAGCACCCATTCATCCCAAGGAGTTCTTTGCTTTAGAGGAATTTACTGTGTTCATGTTTCTGAATGTAGTTCAGGTCAGAAAACTATTGCATACAATTTTTTTTTTTTTACTTTTTGGGTCACACTCAGCGATGCTCAGGGGTTACTCCTGGCTCTGCACTCAGGAATGACTCCTGCCGGTGCTCAGGGGACCATATGGAATGCCGGGGATCAAACCCAGGTTGGCTGCGTGCAAGGCAAATGCCTGCTGTGCTATCGCTCCTGCCCCTATTGCGTACAATTTAATATTGTCAACATACCACATAACAGATCACATTTTATGACCATGGTAAATTCTAGTGTATCATTTACCTTTAGTCATGAAGTAGCTTAGCTTAAATTTCACTTGTTCTGGTTTCCTTCCTTTGATGGGTTGTGAGTATTTAGCCTTGACCAATACTCTGTTGTGAGATATTTTTCAAACTATAAATTTGTTTGACCTTGTTATGGGGTGTGTATGTGTGTGCATGCACAGGCCTACGAGAGGGCTTATTAGGGTGTTAGAGCATGAAGATGTTTCCCTGCTGAGATCCTTGAAACTTGTTCTGCAGTGACGTTCTAGGGTGAGCTGAGTTTATTTATTAGAAACTTAGGGAAGATAGGTGTTTTGTTATTTATCCTACATTAACCAGTATCTTCTGATTTAAGGAATTTTTACCATGTTTTTCAGAGCTTGTTGCCAAAGAATTCATTTTAGTAGAGTTTGCTTTTCATATGGAGATGCTGATAGTCAACATTTATTACATTTTTGGTTTATTACCTTTTTTTTGACCTGAGATGTAGTAAAGCTAGGCTAACAGTACTACACATTTTTTTCTGTACTCACTTTTTGCTCTTTATCTGTGATTCAGCCCAGAGTATTTTCCTTATTTATCTTGTTTTGTACACCATAGTGGGCTGTGACCAAGGCTTGCTTCTGGCACTGTGCTTGGGGATCACTGCTGGTGGGGCTTAGGGGACTGTGT